CCTGGCCACTGCAGGAGAGGAAAAGGGAGGTTTTTTGAATGGAAAAAGCTCCCTACTTCCTCTTCTGAAGTATCCAATATCTGAAGTGTGACTTCCCTGTGGTCCCAAGCACAGACCTGCGAGAGGGAAGCCAGAGCAGAGGCCGTTTGGCCTGCTTCCTCTGAAGGGCTGTGGCAGCGCACTCGGGAAGGGGCTCAGAAAGCGGCTCAGAAAGCCCAGGTCCTCAATGCCTTTCCCCCCCTCCTCTGCTGCTTCCCCAGTTCTGCATGAGAACCAACTGACCCACACAGACTTGAAGCCAGAGAACATTCTGTTTGTGAATTCTGAGTTTGAAACTCTCTACAACGAGCACAAGGTATTGCTGGGAGCGAGCGAGGCCCTGCTGTGGGGTGGGTGACCCACTGGGCCGGCCCCCTGACCCTGCTGCCTGGCTCTTCACCCCTCAGAGCTGTGAAGAGAAGTCTGTGAAGAACACCAGCATCCGTGTGGCCGACTTCGGCAGCGCTACCTTTGACCACGAGCATCACACCACCATCGTGGCTACCCGTCACTATCGCCCTCCTGAAGTCATCTTAGGTGAGCCACCACGTAGCCTCGGCTGGGATAAAGGGCGCGTTTGTGGGGAGGGTGCGAGCGGAGGCAACGATGTCACATTTGTGTGTTCCTGTGATGGTTGACTTGACGTTATCAGGAAAGGGACTTCTGCTGTTTTGGGCGAGAGGCCTGCCAGCCAGTGTGGCAGCTGCCACCACCTTCTAGGCTGAGCGCAGGGCCAGGTTTCAGTGTCTTCCCATCTTGACTTTCAGAGCTGGGCTGGGCACAACCTTGTGACGTCTGGAGCATTGGCTGCATTCTCTTTGAGTATTACCGGGGCTTCACACTCTTTCAGGTGAGGCCTCCCCCACATGCTCCACCACTTTGACAGGCTGTCAGGGTCTGATATGGGGAGCCCTTCTACTTCCACCCCTCAGCATGTGAAATTCTCACTGGAGGGTCATAGTAGTTCAGGAGGGATGAAGGCCGGGCAGCTGGTGCCCTACCTAGCTTGAGCGGGTGTGGAGATGGGCAGAATGGGACATGTACCAGGGGAAGCGACAGCCAGACCACAGGACGGCGTGCCTTGACAGGCGAGTTCACCTGAAGTGTCAAGGAGGGTGACCCTGACCCTGAGAACAGGCTGCTCTTCCCTGAGGTAGCCACCAGGGCAAGGACTGGGACTGCTTATGGTTGCATCGGTGGGGTTGCATCTTCTGGGGCTGGGAGGGTAGGTGCCTGTCCTTCTGTCCCTTCCCCATGAGGGGACCGAGTCTGGTGATGACAGCTTGCTCTATCCTTAACCGTCCATAGACCCACGAAAACCGAGAGCATTTAGTGATGATGGAGAAGATCCTTGGACCCATCCCATCACACATGATCCACCGCACTAGGTAAGGGGCCTGAGAGTCCTCAGGGCTGGTCTAGGGCCTTCCCCGCCTGCCATGGCACGTCCCACTTGACCCCACCCCTTCTCTTTTCAGGAAGCAGAAATATTTCTACAAAGGGGGCCTGGTTTGGGATGAGAACAGCTCTGACGGCCGGTATGTGAAGGAGAACTGCAAACCTCTGAAGGTCAGTTTCTGGCTTCCCCCAGCTCAACTCATGCCAAGGAGACCCAGGCATTGGGCAGACCTACTGAGGAGACATGGGCCAGGCAGCTAAAGGCCGCCGCCTCTCTCTGGCTCTATGGGAGGCAGGACCCCAGACCGCTGGGTGCTGGCAGTGGAGCCTCTGTCAAACTGCCCCAGAGGGCTCTTAGTTCTATCCCTTCCCCACAGGGTGGCTATGATGTAATTGGGGGAACCCCAGAAGAGCCAAATGTCAGAGCCTCCTGTCCCCTCTTTTCTCCATTTTTGAGAACTAGGCAGGACTGAGGTGAGGGGGGTGGTTAAGACCTAGATGTAAGAGCCTCACTGCCATTAGCATTTGGTGTTCTGACAACTGAATTTTTCAGAGGTGACTTCTGTCCACCTGCCATACTTTGCTTCCGGGGGGCAGAGGCACCAAGCCAGCAAGACACGTGCAGCTGCCAATTCACAGCAGAACGCTGTGCACAGGCGTGAAAGGACAGGAGCTGCTCACTGTCCAGGGAGGCAGCACGGCTGCCTCTACCCAGTCCAGCCAGGCTTCCTAGAGGCCAGGGGACCCGCTGCGGCTTCCTGTGACCCTGCCGTCACACTGAGGCGCCTTGTGTCCCTGAGCAGAGTTACATGCTCCAAGATACCCTGGAGCACGTGCAGCTGTTTGACCTGATGAGGAGGATGTTAGAATTTGACCCTGCCCAGCGTATCACACTGGCGGAGGCCCTGCTGCACCCCTTCTTTGCCGGCCTGACCCCAGAGGAACGGTCCTTCCACACCAGCCGCAATCCAAGCAGATGACAGGTGCAGGCCCCACCTGAGGAGATGGAGAGCAGGACTGGGCTGCCCGGCCCTTTTCTCCCACCTCTACCAACGGGCCCCAGGGCCAGAGCCACCCGATGAACAGTGCAATGTGAAGGAAGGCAGGAGCCTGCAGGGGAGGAGACTCAGTGCCCAGCTGCCAGAAAGCACAGATTTGACCCAAGCTATTTATATGTTGTAAAGTTATAATAAAGTGTTTCTTACTGTTTGTAACCCCTGGTACCAGTGTGTCCGTCTCCAGGCTCCTTGGCTTCTCTCCTTTGACCTTATTAATAAAGTCTTTCTTAGCAGTCCAGCTTGTGCAGAGCTAAGTGTGACCTGGCCAGCCAGTAGAAGGGCCAGAAGCCAGATGCTTAGAAAAGTTCTAGCCCAGAGGCTGGGCCACTATCAGGTGGATTCCTGAAGGAAACTCGAGAGCTCACTGCAGCGGGCCAGGCAGCACCTGGGTCCTCTCCTTCAGCCTTTCCACGGCCGGGCTTTGGGCTGTACATACGCATCGCGAAGGCTTACTGAGCACTGTCAAGAGGTGAGATGAAGGCTTAGAGGTCCAGGAATGAAGCAGTTCTTCACTGTGTCCACAGCTCAATTCACCACAGAGCACAGAATACCATCATTCAACTTTATTTTCGTGCTGGTTTTTGGTTCCCCCAAGAGCTGCATGAACAAGTCTAACCTGGCTGGGGCCCCCTGAGAACTGGGCACTGTGGGCAGGATGCCTCGGAGAACTGGATAGAGGAATCGTGCCTAACTTCAATACCACTGGGGGAAGCCCAGGCTTTAGGCAAAAAGAGGTTCCAGTGCCCCCTGGGGGGAGGGGGAGTTCAGGCACAAACTCCTGGTTGGCCCCTCCACAGAGCCAACCACCCCCAAGACAGCCACAGCTTAACTTGAGCAGATAGGTGGTCAGGGTTCCTTTCCCACTTATCTAGTTTTGGAGGAGAGGAGGGGAGGGGAGGGGCAGCTGGCTAGCCACTCTCAGGCAGCCAGAGCTGGTTTAATGTCAGGTACTAAATACCTTAATCCAGCGCTGCTCCAGATGATGGCTCTGCCTTGAGAAAGGGTCCATATAGGAAGCTGCCTGGCCCTGAGAGTGAGCACAGGCTCAGAGAGGACACAAACAGCACAAGGTTTGGAGTCCCTGCCCCTCCCAGTAAGAGAGGACTGAAAATTGAGGAAGAATGGGAGGAAAAGGAGGGACCAGCCCTCTAACCTGCCTCATCTGCTCCTGGCTATGTTCCTATAACAACAGCGATAGGCTCCCTGAAAGCCATGGTACGGGGCCTACCCTGTTGTCCATGATCCTTGGTGAGCCCCTCCCACTCGCCCTCTTAGTGAGAGGGTGTGGGTAGAGAGGCAAAGGAAACTTGAAGTCCTGAAAGACTTTAAAGCACGCCCCGTGCAAGAGCCCCTTCAGAGACTCCAGGGAGGGCTCCTGTTCTAGTAGCTGCTTGGGCCTGCGAGGGTCCCACACCTCAGTGCCTTAGGGTCTGAGCAGCAGTGTGTGCTTATGGCTGAGCCCCTCTAGTCCATTTTAGCATCTCAGGGAAGGTGCTGGCCCCCACCCCATTCATCTAGGGTTGACAACCATGAAAGGTTTGCCCAGAGACTGTAAGAGCTGAGGTGGGGCCCAGATGAGGGGATCGTCCCTGCGCTGGGATGACAGCTGCGGAGGACCATTTCAGGGGAAAGGCAGAGGGGGCAGGAGAATGAGGGTGTGTATTCGTGGGCAAGGAGGTCAAGGGAATGGTGGCCTTGGACAGGAGCACCAGGAAGCCTCTTCTGGCTCAGCACCAGGCTCCCCCAGGGGTCTTCCAAATGCTGAACATTAAAGCTGCACCCTGAGGGTCAGGCCCCAGACTAAAGACTTAGCCCCTAACTAGAGTGTGTACAGGGTTGGGGGGGGGGGCACTGCTGGCAAGATGGGCACTGTGGTTCTATAGTAACATGACCTTATGCTACCTGTACTGAAGACAACAGAAAAACAGTATAAAATCCCAATACAGTAAAACCACCCTGATGCCACCCCCTTCCCTGCCTCTCAGAGTGATGAAGTGGAAAGGAGGAAGGACCCTTATAAAAAAAGGCCCAGCGTAAAACTTGGATCAGCGCAGGAGAGGATCAAAAGCCCCCCATCAACTTGTCTGTTGGGCTAAGGGAAAGCCTCAGAGCCCTGGGAATGGAGAGGGCAAGTCTGCCCTCTAGCGGACAGCTGCAGTGCAGTCGGTTCTCCATGATCAGCGGGAGGGCTGCCTGGGTGGGGAAGAGACAAAGCCACACGCTCTGATAGAGAGCAAGTTCAGGCTCCCAAATAGAACCTGCCCTGCTTTGCAAGGCGCTTGCCCAGCCCAGTGGCTGTAAACCTGAAACACAGTCTGAGAGCTGCCTATATCTGTAAACAAAGCCCCATCTGGCCAAGCAGGGGGCCAAATGTAGAGATGCCTAGAACCACTGCACTCAGCCTGCCACCTGTCCTGCACACCCAGTGTGAAAGCCTTCTCTGACAAAGGGCAGGTGACAGGCTCCTCCTAAATATGTTGTCCTTTCACAGAAGAAACAAACCCAAAAGAAAAAAATTAACAATGTCCATGAAGTTTCACATCCTTAAGGCGTTCGTTGTCAAGTTCAGTGTCAGGAGCAGCAGGGACTGCAGGGTTCAGCATGCCCAGAGTCCCTCTAGGCAGAGTGCAGTGGGATGACAAATTTGCAGCCAAAGGGTGAGTGGTAGTTGATACCCACCTCCTGGAATACCTGCTGGGGAATGCCAATATCACACAAATAGATGCGGCCTGCATGCTCTCCTAGCGGCAGAGGCAGGCCCAGAGCCAGTGACCATTTGGCATCAATGCCCTGTTCGACTTCATGCACAGGAGGGTCTATGCTGAGGACTGGTGCCCGGTTCTGGTTGGCCCAGGCCACTGCGGCCTTGTACCAGGGCTGGTCCCGCAGGAAGGCGTTCTCAGGGCAGTCGAGGCAGTTGATCACCAGGTCCACAGGACTAGTTGGCAGATCTGCAGGTGGAGAATGCCAGCTGAACACCCCTGTAGCAGGGGCAGCCCAGTCTGGTTGCAGAGCTCAGGTGTGCCAAGACACAACTTACTCCACACCTTCCTGTAAGCCAGGTTACAAACCAAGCAACAACTCAGGCCCCGGAGTGCAGAGGCCATACTGCTCCAGGGGCTAGAAACCAAAGGCACCTGGGTCTGATGGAGGACTGTCCTCACGGGGATCCCAGACATCCTGATGCGTAGGCAGAGCTCCTCAGGGCTCAGGCCTACCTTCTCCGCCTAGCATGCAGCCTCTGGGCACATTTTTGATGAGCTCTGGGAAGGCAGGCTCTTCTGCCTAGTCAGACCTCAGGGCAGGCCTGCCCAGGCCCACCAGAATCAGGCTGTCAGGAAGTGTGAGCAGGTGAGAGCTGCTCACTTACTCTTCTACTCTGAGGTGGCCCCTGTCACTATGGCATGGGACTGAGTCTTAAGGACCTTAAGACAGGGAAGGAACCTATCACTTTCCCTGGCACCTGAAAGTCTCTGCTTAAACCAGTCCTTTACGACAAAAAAGAGATTGCAACCAATATGGAAGTCTTGACCATCCTTAAAGCAGAATCAGAGCAAACTCAAGGGTGGGCAGACTTGCCTTCTGGAGAAGTTGGGAAAAGGAGGCCTTCTGGGTAGCAGATGAAGAACTTCAGGGCCTCATGCTGAAGATCTCAAGAAAGGGAACTCCCACCAGCCCCCTTTCCCAGCTCTCAGTCCAAAGTCCATTTCTCAGTAAGAGACATATGGCTTCCTTACTTATTTTCTGCTTGCCCACAGGAGCCCGACATGAGAGTCAGACTCTAATTCTGGCCCAAGTCACCATCTGTTCCTGGCAAGGCCCTTTTCAGGGGCCATTATTGCCGCGTCTTGCCCATTCTCTCTCACACACTCCAATTAGACATTTCCACTAAGCCACTTGGAAATGCTGCTGCTGAGATCCCCTGGGGCCACCACAGCACTGAATCCAGTGGTTGATCTTCAGTCTTCATTTGAATGCAATGCAACCTACAGTGGCTTGCAGACAGCGCTCACACTCTCCACTTCACCCGCCTTTCAGACTCCTTCTTCCCCACTGGCCCCTCCTGTCCTGTCTCCTTGGCTGGCTTCCCAATCCTGCCTTCTGAACAGAGTTCAGTCTTACAACTTCTCTACTGTCTCTCTTCCTATTTGCTATTGTAACTGGACAGGTAACTCCAGACTGGATCCCATCACTTCAGACTCACAGCAGTATCTCCACCTGCACACCTACTAGATCCTCTGTTTTCTCCTCCCCCAAATCTTCCCTTCTCACTTTTCTAAAAATCTGGATGCCAAGACTACCCCTTCTTTCCTCATTCCCTACATCCAATCTGTGCACTCTTTTTAAAAGTGATTCACAAACTGACCACTTTTAACCACCTCCTCCACCACCATCTTGGCCAGTACGATCTCTCTGCAATTTATCACCCCTCTTTTTGTAGTCTACTCTCAAGCAGCGTTAGAACAATCACCTGAGCCTGAGCTGTATCATCTCACTCGTCTGCTTAATTCTCCAATGACACTCCACCTCACCTGAAGCCAGACCTAAAACACTCACTGTGATCCACAGGCCCTTCATGATGTGACCCTGAACCACCTAAGTCTCCTGCTGTCATATTCCCAGTGAAGGAACAGTGACTGTTCTGTAAATACTTGTAAAATGAGTAAATGGATCCCCAGCACTCCATCTGAATAGTGGAAGAGGAAGGAGGATGAAGGCACGCTCCCTGGCAAATTGGCAGCAAAGGTATCCCTTTACGCAGGGGTGCTTTTCCACCTGCCACCACTGGGTGGCACCACCAAACCACTAAGGAGGAAGAAGGCCTCTGGCCAGTCCCGCCACAAGTGCTCACCTTTGAGGCTAGACACTTGTTGGCCTTGGGTCTTGCTGAAGAGAGACAGCTCATTGGTGATGGACTCCAGCATCTTGACAAAGTTGGGTAGGAAGAGGATGACCTGGACATCATGATTGGCTAGGTGCCTTCCACAGCTGATACCCTGGGCCCCCTTCACATGGGGCCCACATAACAGCGCCACTGTAGGCCTCTGGTGAACATTTTTGGGATTCAACCTGGAACAGAAGGTAAAAAAGCATTACCAGCTGCAGATTTTGCTAACTAAGGGCCTATTGAGTTGATAGTCCCAGGTTCCAGGGAGGCAAAATTCACTGCAGGTCAGGTGTACAGGGTGACATTCCCAGTACCCCATGCCCTGGTGTCTCCTCACCTGCCAGGCCCTCACTGCGCAGTTCACCCACACCTCGTCCCACGCAACCTGGTGGTCAGAGCACTGCTTTCTGACCACGAGCACTTAGGTTCTTCACACTGGTTCAGTGTGTTTTAGGTTCAACTTCTGCATGGCAGAGGCTTGCCCCCCTGCAGTCCTGACATGCCTGCCCCAGCGCAGCAAGGCTGGGCTCAGCACTCAGCCGTACTTGCAAGGCTTTCTTGCTTCTGTTGTTTATGTTCCTCCCCAACATTCCCTTTTCTAATTCTGACCCATCTTTTCTCGTGAGATCTAGCTCTAGGTTCTCCTCTTCTAGGGCTACTTTGGCTCATGCTATTTTCCTATGAAATAGCAAGTATCAAAAAGGATTATTCTAGATTGTCTTCAATCAGTTGCCAGTCCAAGTTCTCTTACTGAGCTGCCAATAAGCTAGTAAGAAACTAACAGCACCTACTTCACGGCACGCTATGTGAATTGATGGGTGTACAGCATTCAGAACAGGGCCCAACACAGAAAGGGTTCCTGTTACAGTACTGCTCATAGAGGCGGCAGCCAGCTAGGAGCTACCTAGCCTCCCAGGCTGGTTTCTCCCTTGGACACCCACTTCGTGATGAAGCAGTCACTTCTAGTGTCCTATCATTCAAAGCTGGGACGCCTGGGGTCTTGGAGATGCCACAAACAAGGTTTGGCGATCTAGCCTTAAGAGCGCTGTCTGCACTCCACTGGGGCGCAGGGCAGCAGGCCCCCCAGGGCAGGGCGCTGGAAGAGATGGCCATCAAGAAACAGCCTGGGTGAAGCTAGACGGGCTACCTGGCCTAAGGGGGGGGGGAGGGCACTGATGCTCACTCGGTGTCCTCCAAAAGGGAGAGATGACAGATGCTCTCAAGTCAACGAGGAAACCGCAGTCCTCCAAATAAATTTTGGGGTATTAAGCAGTGTACGCTACACCTACAGCACACTTTTCACTTCCCCTACTATGTTTGTATCTCCAATGATCAGTACTTCTCCCTTCAGACATTTACCAGTGTTCTAGCACCTGATCACTTGTTCTGTTCCCTAAAAGGACTCTTCCTTTCTCAAGGCAGCCCCAGCAGAGGACTGAAACCAGAGTCTGGCATCTGAACACACAGCAGGGGCTGAGTACTGGTCCAGGAAACAGACTTAGCTGCATCCATCACACACCAACAGCAGCTCTTCAAGTTCCCTGAAGCTTGCTTGCACATTGTGAAACACTGGGCTACTATTAACCTTTGAGGTGAATTATGAGGGTCAAGTTAAATGTTGCCGTGAAAGCAATGAAAAACTGCACGGTCCTGGACATACATCACATGGATACTAACTGGTCACCTTTCTCAAAGAAAAACCAACAATTGCTGCAAGGACAGGAGACAGTCATGGGGGTTCAGACACAAGAGAAAAGACAAGCGCAAGCGCACCAGCCCCAAGAAGTTGGCCAGTGAACAAAGTGATTGGGGAGGACATTCCAATCCTGCCTCCCAAACTGCTGTTTCTGGGGAGCCACTTCATGGTTCAAATTCCCCCAGGAAGAACTTATTCCAGCAGCTGCCCCAATGGCTGCTCTGAGAGGAGCCATAACTGTCAGCAGACCCCAAGGCCTGACATGTCTTCTGAGGGCAGACTGCATTCCTCCCTCTCCACACAAGAGAGGTTGGGGAGCAGGCTCTATCAGAGGACAAGGTGAAATGGTCATTTCAGGGACTCTAAAAGGGAAACCTCACCTCCAGGTCAGCTCAAGCCTGCTTTTTCAAGGTTATCTCAGGACCGGGACTTCTGCTACCCAGATACAGCATCGCCACGACATGGGGTAAAAAGAAGCAGGAATCAAGAGCACCAGGATTCTGGCAAGCACCTCAAACTCCACAGCCAAGCTAAGGAAGATGTTCCACTTCCCAAACAGGAAAGGGACTCTATGGGAAACACGCCTTGTTCTAAGAGTTTCCAGGTCTGGGGGTGCTGCTCAGGGAAGCTAGGCTTTCCTGGGACCATTGAACGCATGAACACAGGTCTCAGCTGCCCCCTGGAAACCACTTTCTCCCTCCAGACATCCCTCTCCAAAAAGGTGACCATGCCCTCCTTTTTATTGAGCAGTCCAGCAGATTCTTGTCAGGCCCAGTTGTGCTTGATTGTTCAACAGTACCACTGCTGACCATTCCTTTATTCTTCAAACACTGTATGTGAACACCACGCCATTAGTTTTCCCAACTCCCTGGCTTCCTTTCTCAGCCATATGGAAGGCTTCTCATCATCTTAACTATGCCTTCAACACAGGAGCTCCCCAGAATGCTGCCCTAGGCCTTTTCCTCCATTTACACGCTCTCCTTAGCAGACTTTGTCTGTTGTTAAACCAGTCAGAGCTAAGGACTTCCCAATCTCTAGCTTCTGTTCAGGCTTTTCCAACTTGAGATCCATGTGGCAAGTAGTCTATTTGGATACCTCACAAGTCTCCAAATTCAACAAATCCAAAACAAGCCATCTCCCTCAAACCTGTTCTTCCTATAGCAAATCTTATCAATGTTCATCCAGGTGTCCAAGGCAAAAGGCCTGAAATTTATTTCACTTTAAATAACAACAAACCCTCCCCTTATCTACCTCTCTGGCCCAGTTTTCTGTTAAAAGTTTCCTAACTGGGGCCCTCCCCAGTGACGTAGTGCACTAAGAAGCTAAAGCCACTTCCGCATGAGTTCGATCCCCGCCTGCCCCGGGGGTGACCACATGGCATGGCAGACCTCTCCTGACCTGCCCGCGGCTCCCCTCAGCAGTGTACTTCGACGATCTGCCTGTTCTGCTCCCCACTCTGTCCCTGGTGAATTCTCTCACTCTCCACATCTCTGGCCTGTACCCCAGTTCTATATGAATAAAACCCCAGTTCTATATGAATAAATAAATAAATCTTTAAAAAAAAAAAAGTTTCCTAACTGGACTCACCACTTTTCAATCTATTCAGTCAAAGTCATCTCTCTCTGTCTCTATTTTTGTTAAACATTTATTTATGGGTACAGGCCAGAGGTGCAGGGGTGGTGAGATGATTCACCAGAGACAGAGTGGCGAGCAGCAGGGGGTCAGGAGAGGTCTGCCTCACCATGTGGGATCACCTCCACCATGTGGGATCTCCTCCGGGGCAGGCGGGGATC